CCAAACAACAAGGGGTTATTTGATCTTCCGTTGGTGGCTTTACACACCCACCCTTGAATACAGTAAAAATTTAAACTCTGCCTTCATTTTTAAGATGTTAACAACCTTACTGTTAAGTTATTCTAAAGTGCAAGCTTTCGTTACTTATTGTCAATAGCATCTTAGTCTATAAGCCATTCACCCTGTTAAAAAAATAGAACTGTCTTAACTAGAGGTTTCTTTTTTTTCCAGTTCTTAAATTGTGTCCTCTCATCCTTTTGTTTTCAGAATACAGCACAAAAATTTCTGAGGCCTCTATCCTACCCATCTGGATAATCTAATAAACTTCAATAAGATCACCTTTCTTTACTCGAGAGAAAGTAAAAGGTCTTAACTCATCCATATGAGATCAGGGCTGAGGAGAGGAGTGAGAGGCCCGATAGTGCATATTCCAAAGCTCACTAGAAATGCATACTACTTAATGACCTAAAATGGCTACTGCTTTTTCATGGATTCATGAAGGCTCGTCTCTTTAAAAATATAATCAAATGAAAATGTTCAAAACGTATTTACATACTTCTATGTTGTATGAATGTGGAGTTTAAGTCGTGGCTGTTACTGTATTTCACAATGTGATGTAACTTATAATTCCTGAAATTTTTAGAATAGCGTTGTCTTTAATAAAACATTTTTGATGTTGTTCTGTGGCATTTAATAATGTAAATTGTCTCAACTTTGTTGTTCTGGTTAATTAGTAAGCAAGTAATATTCATAATACTTCATGGAACATACTGGAACCACGCTGACCCATGTCAACCTGTTTCTAAGATCTTGGAACCGCGTTGACCCATGTTAACTTGTTTCTAAAGTCTTGGTAACACGTTGACCCATGTTAACTTGTTTCTAACGTCTTGTAGTAACACGCTCCTTTATTACGTGATTGTTGTTGGTTACTCGTGATAAGTGTTCGAAACACGTAACATTGAACGTTTCTGTGGAAACCTAAAGGATCTGACGCAGAGCTGAGGAGAATATTGTTCCTTTGGAATAACTAACCGTGACGTCAACTGGTGTAGAATGAAAACAGTTCTTAAAGTGTTCAATAACTCGCAAATCACGAGCCGTGATGAAAGAAACAGAACAGTCGATAACGTACGACATCTTAACAAGGTCAGAGGTCATTTGTGGGTGAGTAGAAGAGTGCTTGTCTCCTGAAGGGAAGATGATGTGGCACTCCCCACTTTTCCAAGAATCCTGAAGATGAAAGACATCAAGTTATTTAGGCCTAACTAAGTAAAGATATAAACATAAGATTGATGTAAAAATAACCCACATACACTGGAGAGGAGACAAAACCAGCAGCAAGCTTTAAAACTTTAGCCATTTTTATATGGTACATTTGTGCTGCCTAAAAAAAGAGTCGTTGGACAAAAAAAAAAACACAAAAACAAAAAAAAAAAAAAACAAAGTCAACAACTTAGTTCAAATTT